AGAATAGTTTTTTGCCGCTTGTTTCATAATAAATTTTATTTATATAACCCTTTTGCTGATTTTTAAAGTGTTACATAAACAGGACAGGTGAAATATTATCATGTAAAGCAACCATAAACACATGAAAAGACCTAGGTTTACAATTTATGATTAAAACTCTACTATCTACACAATATACATAGACATAAAATGTCAAAACTTAAATATCTTAGAAACAGTAGCCAATCAGTTGTTTTAATTGTCATATTTGAATTCAGCACATCAAAATACATAATAAATAGCACATTTTATCTCTGAAGCGGACGACTTCTCAAAAATTGTAAACCAGTGTTATCTAAAGTTATTGTTTGCAGTGTTGTATCTTTTAAAATCTCTTGCATTAGTGTGAAAGTTTTCTTGTTCTGGAGTTTTTTGGGGGAGAGGATTTTTTAACAAATGTCCTTTTTTTCACTCTTCAGAAAAGTATTTTGATATGAAGAAGAACCAGTGCAAAGAAGGTTTGGATATTTACAAAAAGTTCCTAGCCAGAATGACCAAATTGTCAGAATTCCTCAAAGTAGCAGAGGTAAATAAACTTACATGCATTAAAAGGGGGTCATTTAGCTATCTGTACTGGTACAATAGTCCCATCACAAACAGTCTAATGTTTGTGTGATTTGCTGTGCAAAATAAAACTTTTGTAGGTTGCTGAATCTGAATGTCACTTACATGTTTTTTTTATATTGAGTGATATTTTTAAGGCACCTTTCTTTGCCTAACAATTACTAACAGTACAGTAAACCCTTTCTGTCTAAAATGCTACTAAGAATCTGTTTTTACACATTGATTAGTAGATGGAAATGACTGGGCTTGATGATATTTATAAATATTTTCAAAGCATTCCTGTGATATTTCTGCTCAAAATAGAGCATAAATTCAAACAAGCTGTGTTATTTCCAGCTCTTACAGTAAATCTCCGCATCTTTGCATGAAATAGTGCAAATAGAAATATAGTTTGAGCTTGTTTGACATGTACACTGAAATTCTAGCTTAGAACTTGTCTGTTAGAATTGACATGAACAATGTACCAGTTCAGAAAGTTATTCATGTCCCTTTTGATACCTTAGCTTCTGTGTAACATTCAGACCCCACAGTTTTTCTTTTCATTGCCGCTGCATGTAGTAATGTACATTTTTTTCCCTTTTTTGTGAACCCAGCAAGTTGGAATTGATCAGGGTGACATTCCAGATCTTACTCAGGTCAGTGTACATTTCATATTCATTTAACCCAGTTCTTTTGTCCTTTGTGTTTTAATGGTTAATGTGTATCATATTCATCCTGAGAATATATTCTCTTCCATATATTTATATATGGAAATATACATGTTCACTTTTTCCATAGATTGTTACATGTACACAGTTCTTAAACAGTTCTGCGATTCTTTAAATAAGACTTCTGTTTTAAAGCAGTGAAGTTTATCTGGTTTATAGGGATATTTTTACTAAAACAGAAGTTTTTCCTTTGAATCCTTTGTGAATCTGTCTCTCAAGTACACAGGCATACTGTGCCACATCTTGGGGAAAACACTCAACTCCATTCAAGCAACTGGTTTCATAGAAGTTACACAGCAGTACATACCTGTATCTTAAGCTTTGTTACTCAGCTATGGAAGCTTTTCCAAGGTCCCCAAAGATAACAGTGTAGATCTACTGATATTTATATTGGCACCAGCCATATGTTCAGCACTGTAAGATATGCACACAAATGGGGGGAGGGATAGCTCAGTGGTTTGATCATTAGCCTGCTAAACCCAGGGTTCTGAGTTCAATCCAAGTTCAAAGGCAGGGGGCTGGACTTGATGACCTTTTAAAAATCTGGGAACTGGTCCTGCTTTGAGTAGGGGGTTGGACTAGATGACCTCCTGAGGTCCCTTCCAACCCTGATATTTTATGATTCTATGAAAGTCCCTGCCCCCCAAAAACTTTAATGATGGGAGACACCGGGAAATCAGGTGGTGAGGATAATTTACAAGGCAGAATAAACTAGGTTGATTCTTGGAGTCTTGATAAACTGGAGTAGGGACAGTACAGATGGAATCGATATGTATAATCAATTTAGAGGAACATTGACCATCCTTATAAGAACAGACCTTTTTATTTTATTATGGAAAGTGTTATTACAGCACCTAACTGTCTTTCTTTGTGCCATTCATTGTTCTGTACAGTATCCCTCCATCTGATCTTGTGCTAATTTCTTTTACAAACTAAATAGCACTAGTCTCTGATCTATCTTTGTGAAAATTTCCCACCCCTATCAATGTTGTTAATATTCATTACCCTTTTGGGGGACTTTGCTATTTCTTTGTTATTTGTAATTAAGAGACCAAATATGAATACAGTCACCGAGATGAAGATATATAATCTAGAGGCATAATAGCATTATTTTCTGTATTACACTCTATTCACTTCTTAATACCCTACTATCTTAAGGAATGTCTTTGGCTTGTCATTGCGTGTTCAAAACGTATTTTCAGCAATACGCCCAAATCCCTTTAATAAAGTTTAAGACTAAAAATCTATTGACTGAATTGTTTGTTCTATGCAATACTTGTATCTTGTAATTGTCAATATTGAGTTTTCTTTGCCATCATTTGTTCAGTTAACTTGTTTTGTTAGGTTATTCTAATGTTCTTCAAAGTCTTCCCTAGTCTTGACTAACCCAAATAAATTGTCATAATCTAATTTTGTTCCCTTACCACTCTCCCCCTCCTCTAGATTAACTCCTTCAAAAAATGACGAGTAAAGTATTGGCCAAACTTAACCTTTAAAAAGGTCAGCTACTGTTAAATCATGTCTTTCTAGTATTTTTCTTAGTAGTTCACTTACTTTAGAACTCTCAGGTGACTACCATATAGTGCTAGTGATATATTGCAGTTTTCTTGTGTGGTTTAGCACCTCATCTGATACCTGTGTCTCTGACCCTTCATTTCCTAGTGAATTCATGGACTCTCTAATAGATTTGCATGGTACATTTTATTGAGTCGTTTTTAGCTATTTGTTTACATTTTCTTTTAAGATTTGTTAGGACCAGACTTTCAAAACATAGCCTCCATTTTTTAGATCACTTAAATCCTTCATTTGCGGGTACTGTTAGTTATGTTTACGTAATCTAATTGATGAAAATGATGATCTAGTTAGCCTGAAATGAAAATTTGGCCCTTAATCTACATATTACCCACTGAAGTTCTGCTCTGCCACTTTTTGATATTTTGTGTCTTTGTCTCCAACTCTTATACTTGCTGTTTGACCATGTTGTTCTTACTCTTTCTTATTCTGAGATAGGCACACATGGGTATTTTTTCCAAGCAATGTCCATAAGGAACTTTTAACCATTTATATTTTGGAAGCTGAACTCACCCATTATTACTAGTAAATCTTATTGCCTCCCTGATCCGCAATAACATTCCAATTTTATCATAATTTATCTGTTCAGGAGGCAGGAATCCTACCCCCATATGTTCTGTATTGTGGTCACCTCTACTCACAATTTTCTTTTGATAATCTAAATGGAATATTTTAGGTATTGGCTCTCCCTTACTCTCCCCACCCCCATCTCTACACCTTTCACTTTTGCTAAGACACCACTTTGGCAGAAAATAAGTATTCTTTTCCAGTATATTTTGGAAATGCCAAATGTCTTGGTTTTCTCCAGTACCAGATATTCCAACTCTCACATTTTGCTTTAGGCTGCTTCCACAGGTATATTGTAGATTTTATTTTGTAATGGATGTACTCCTCTCTCTTTGCTGAAACTTAAGGATTGCTATTCCTTCCCCTTCATCCCCCCAACCCCCGCCCCAGTGTACCCAGAATTGTCTTAGCCCTAGTATGAGACAGTTTCATATGTGCGTCTGTTGTCCCAAAGAGAATAGTTCAATCTGTGTGTTCCTCAGCATTTGCCTGCTTTTCCAAAACTTAATTTTAACCAATTGTATGTTCGTTGTCAGTGTGTCCTTGTTTAGGACAAAGCCATAGCAGAAAGAATACTTTTAACCTTGCTACCATTCCAGCAAGGCTTTTTTCCATGATTGTATTATACATTCTACCAGATTTTCAATATTCCTTTTTTGCTGAGTTAACCTTAGCTGTCTTGTATCAAAATGATCCATCACTGTAGGTGATTCCTTTTAAAAGACTATCATAATAACTTGTGATATCAAATAGTCTAACACCTTGGAGGTATTTGCATCTGCTTATGTTTCTGATGCTCGAATCCCCTACTACCACTGTGTGTTTAGCATGTCTCGTAGACTTCCAGAGGGACATATGTAGGGGGTGTGAGTTTCATCTGTTTTTCTTAGAAGGGCCTCTTCTAATGGGGCGGGGAGAGGATTTTTTGAAGGGAAGGAGGGACACTATACAGCTACTAATTTCTATTTAGAACCTGCATCAGATACTAACATGGTATTGGGTCAAAAGAGAACAGCAGACCACCTACCAGTAAACAGGCAGAAGGGAAACCAAACAAAGCAGTTACAAGACTTCCTTTACAAAGTATTTCTATTCAAACCCTGTCCTGTAGGTGAACCTGTCTTTAAAATCATGTTCAGGCAACGTGAGTAAAACCTGTATTAACACTCTTTTAGAAATCTGGATTTCTTGAAATAGTTTTTCTCTTTGCCTGGTCTAAGTGGACCAACAGACAGAATGTGTTTTTATCTTCTGTACCAGTCTAGACGCTTGTTGGTTCCTCTCAACGATTTCTTGGTATGTACTTCATAGGCAGCTGTAGATGTGGCCATCGGATCTCTAGAGACCAAAGAAGAGGACTTGTAACTGGCCAAGAAACTCCCATTTTTGGATTTGCTCTCTTGTTTGTGAGAGTCCATGTCTATTATAATCCAGTCAATTTATGGAGCCGTGGCTGTGTTGACAACAGAGAGTCCTACCTGTAAAACAGTGGAGAGAAAATTCTCCCTCCAAAGCCAGACTAGCAGCCCTGCCCTTAAAGGCAGGTTTATTTTCAAGGAGGTGTTGAAAAAGGCTAGGATCATCTGAAACATTGTTAAAGGTGTTAAACTGTGGGTCAGTCAGTGTTGAGGGGAAATTTCAATTGAGTTAAACTAACTTGAATGAAAAAAGGCACCAATTTTTGCCCATGTAGACAAGGCTTTTAATTAGTGGCTGGCTACTTTTTCTTACATCTTACTAAGAACTAAATCAGCACTGGGTTTTGGTGTGGTTTATTCTTCTACTTTATTAGCTGCTTGCTTCTGTTCATCCATTTGTCAGTAGTTCAGATGCCTCATTCACTCAATCTTAAGCACTTCAGAGAGATTAAAGTTTCCAGATATAGAAAGACTTTGTAAATTTATTTGTGCTATTTTAAACACATTTACTGATGTCTACTGTTGAGCTATTTCACTTTTTAAAAAAATTTGTAGTATGGCATTTTAAAACCTAACTTTTTGCTAGAGATAGTGGAATGCTGGAGAAGTCTGCTTTAAAAAAAAAAAGTAAGAACATTTCATGTATAACACTTTTGTCCTGACTGAAAACTATCACCTTATGGTCAGTTTTAATGTCTAGATTATAAGAACTGCTGGTATCATGTGTTGATTTAGTTCACAGATGGATCTGAGAAAAGAGGGAGGGAATGTTAACTTGACACAAAGATATGAGTGGTAAAGGAATAGCTATTAATATTCTATGTTGGTGTGAGTGCAGTAAAACTGTTTTGTTGCTTCCAATAAAGTGGTTATGTGGATCATACTTCAGTTTCTAAAAGGTAATTCCCCGTTGTACTGAGATACACTGGGGGCTTTTGGTTGTAAGGATTTATCATCTGATTTAAATTTGTTTATGGATTTCAGACAAATGAAAGTATATCCTGCCTTTTTTTGCTACTGTAGCTAGAGAATTAACACTTTCTGTAAGCACTCTCACAGTTTTGGGGTGTGCTAATTAGAGCCGAGTATAATTAACTGACCTGCCTTACTAAAGTGCTTAGCACAGCTAATGCTGTTGCCAGAAAATTCCAATCTTTGCTTCTATACATGTGCCCAATTTGGTGGAACTTCTGTTTCGTAACCCAGCATTTAGTGATCATGTTTGCCTATTTTGATTGAAAAGGGGATATTGCCAAAATATGAATCTTGCAAATCGAATCCAAGTGTATGATCCAAAAAGAAATGCATAATTGTTTAGTTGGTGGATGGGGGAATTAATCTGTACACAAGATGATAATGCATTGTTGTCAAGCAGATGTTTTACGAGAACTTTAACTTTAGGCACCCAGCAGCTTGCTTGAAGCATTGGAACAGCATTTGGCTTCTCTAGAGGGGAAAAAAACAAAAGAAGTCTCAGCTGCTAGCAGGTAAGCATCAAGTGGATCACAAAGGTGTCTTAAATTTTAATTCTCTTTGTACTGAGGTATTTTGAGTATCGGTAAGTTTGAGGTCTTCCTTGAGATACTCACATCCTCCTAAAAGTAAGTGGAAGCAAACAATTTGTTTTCCTTTTCTAGTAAGTGTGGAAAACATAGACTAAAGCTTTATTAATAGTGTTGCTTTGTTAGTAGAGGATATCACTTGAATGTACATTAAATGTTTTTATTTAGTGACAAAAACACATAACTTCACCTACATGCTTATCTTTGTGTCCCCAAACTCCTTGTTAAACTGTGCGTTTTAACTAGGGTTACCATATTTCAATACTGAAAAAAAGAGGATGCTCCACGGGGCCGGGGCCCTGGCCCCGCCCCTTCCCTGCCCCAACTCCGCCCCTTCCCCAAAGTCACCACATTCCCTCTCTGCCCCCTGGGCTCCGGCTGCTGCTGCGCCGGGGAAGTTGCCTCGGCCCCCACTGCGGTAGAGAGCGGCGGGAGCCGGGAAAGTTGGAGCCCAGGGAAGAGGCGGCTGCGTGCTCGGATGCCGCCCACCACCTCTGTGCCCCTGCAGATCGGGGGAATTGGTAGTTTTGCTGCAGCCACTCGCACTCGGGGTTCCCCGAGCGTCTTTTGCCTGAGTGCAAGTGGCTGCACCAAAACTACCAACTCCCCCGATCTGTGGGGCACAGAGGTGGCGGGCGGCATCCGAGCGCACAGCCGCCTCTTCCGCGGGCTCTGGCTGCTGCTGCTGCACTGGGGAAGTTGCTTCGGCCCTGGCGAGCAATGGGAGCCGGGAAAGTTGGAGCCCGGGGAGGAGGCGGTCCCCTTACCATGCCTCCCTATTTTCCCGGACATGTTTGGCTTTTTGGAAATTCCTCCCGGATGGGGATTTGAGGACCAAAAAGCCGGACATGTCCGGGAAAATCCGGATGTATGGTAACCCTAGTTTTAACATACAAGTGTAGTAGCAAAGTGCTGAGCTGAGGCCACATGTGGTAGCTTGTATTGATTTTTAAATAGAGATTTAATGAGTTGCAGAAGGTGTAAGAGATGGATGCATAGAGTTGGGAATGTGTTTATGGGAATTATCTCCTCTCCCACTGTTGTTGTGGGAGTGCAGGAAAATAGTAATCTTTAAGGGCAAATTTCTCTTGTCAGATGTATGTGGGCCATTCTCAGTACTGCCTGTTCATCCTTGCACACAGGCAGGGTAACTGATGTTACTTCAGATCCTCCTGTGCCTCCTATGTCGATAGGCTATCCCTCAGCCGGCGCCGCTTCCCGCAGCCCCCATTGGCCTGGGATTGGCTGAACCTTTGGACGCGGCAAGTAAACAAACCGGCCCGCCCCGCCAGGGGGCTTACCCTGGCGATCCGCGTGCCAAAGGTTGCCAATCCCTGGGCTATGTGAACGTGTTTCCATGTCCTGCAGTCTCACAGCATGTGGTAGACTTAAACCAGTAGGTAAATCCAGACCCCGCTATGGGACTAAATTTGTGTTCTGGGATCTGATTGATTGTCAAATGCTAAATTTGCTTCTTACTTCCACCTTGCCCGAATGCACCTAGCATAGCTTCCTAATTGTGATTAGCATTATCTGAACTCAAAAGCCAGACACCATGGTTACACTTGCTCAGATAGCATGATGATGATCAAGAGCATGGTATACAAACTTAGAATCATAGTCATGCTAGAAATTGAAGAGCACGGCCATTAGTTTTTAAGATTGTTCATGACATGTTATTCCAAAACTATTGCTTATTACACATGGGTTAAAAATGCAAATCCTCTGGTGGACACAGTTTCAGGTCCTATTTAGTTACCAAGAAGTTGCAGCTTTCTGTAAGAGATAGTGCTTGCAATTGATCACATGATATTTTTGGTATGCTAACCAAATTCCATTGTGCTAATCGCCAGTAACCAGCCTTCATAGGACAGCCACTAATCAGGAATACCATGTTGCTTTTGCTGCACTGATAGGTAAGCCATGCTTGCCACATATATGGCAGAAAAATCATGCTAATAGAATTCTGAATGGCTAACTACCTCCCCACCTTAAAATGGGGCATGTTATGTTTCACACCACTGTCCCCATTTGGCTCCTTACCAAGCTGTGCTTTTTGGATGGGATGATGGCAAGGCCATTTATTCTTCCTACTGAAAGATGCATTGTCACTTGAATGATGAGGTGAGGAAGAGATGGGTATAGTTTTAGTTCCTTCACCAAAAGATACAATAATATGTACCATCAGTGTTTGTGATAGTTGAACAAAACACCCTTTTTTGGCAAACCCCTTTTTTGAGAGATGAAGTCAACACAGATGTGCATATTTCGCAGAAATCCACAGTTCTGCATTGCAGCAGAGTCATCGCTTGAGCCTCTTACCTCAGATTTTCACAAGTAGCTGGGAGGATTTGGCTCTACAGCATTAAGTGTGTGTGGGTGCATGCAAGCTAGATAGATCCTTACAGATTTAAAAGTGCTGTTTCCCATGTCAATATAAAATACTAACACATACCTGTTTATGTATGCCATTTAAAGAAGTGGAACAAAAGTCAAAGTATCATATTTACAGCAGGTATGTAAATTGTGTGGCAAAGTCACAAACATCTATATGAAATTCTGTACTTGATTATTGATCTGATATCTCTTCAGCTGAAACTATAGAAAAATATAATTAATTCTACACTTGTCCCCTTCTCTACCCTTGCCCCAAAATGTACAGTATTATGTGTTTGCTGTTTTTCCTCACCAAACGGTGATTGTATTTAGTGCTGAGTCCAGAGACGCATAGGATACTATCTATGAAGCACTTTGTGCCTTTTGGATGCAAATTAAAGGTCACAATTTAAAAAATCATTCTCTTGATGAAACTTTATTTTAGAGCGAGCACCCTATCCAGTGCTGTTTCCACACTTGCCAACACAGGAATGTCATTTAGCAAAATGGATGAGAAAGAGAAACAGCAAGCTTTGGAAGAAGAACAAGCTAGACTGCAAGCACTTAAGGTATCTATCTTTTAAGGATTGGTGTTCCAGGACCCGATGCTTACATATTTTGTGTGTGGAATCCTGGCCCCATTGAAGTCAATGGAAAAACTTCACTGACTTCAATGGGACCAGGATTTTCCCTAAATATGCAAGGATGGTGGCTTCCAGTAAATGGTGGCTCTTATCATGATTGCATAACTTGATAACTAAAATCTGAACACTTTATTCACCTATACTTCTAAAATAGATTGGGTACACATTTTGTCAGAATACATGTTGTCCACATAGGTTTTTATATTTAGGATGATTTAGCAAGTATAGCTCTAGGAAACAGATTTCTGTCCCCATAAGCTAGAATCCTGGAGCAACAGCCATATTGCTACTCATAATGCTCCAATGTGGACAGGACAATAGTTGACTCCCCGTCCATGAAAATATAGAAAGGAGAGAGAGTTAATCTTGCAGCACAGTTTATTTTTCAATCCCAGGGCACATCTATGTCCTTGTTAAATTACAGTTTTGACAAACTAGTGGCCTGTCTCAGGAAAATTAGTTCCTTCCTTCCTTCCTTCCTTCCTTCTCTGTTACTTGCTCAGAGGCCCCCATGGCAGCATCCCACTATTGTTGGAGAACTGGACATTAGTCCCTCAAAATCCTATTTTTGTAGCAGCTCTCTCTGGGGAATGTGGTGTAGTATAGAGAGACATAGATAGTATAGACATATGGTTGGTGAGATGAAGTGAGCTAGGCAGTTGATGAGTATCTTTGGGGCATTTTTGTCTTATTGTTGTTAATTAACCGGGGGGGAGAAGGGGAAGGAGCACTTCTTTGTACTTGGAATTTGCCATCAAGTTTGGTAGGACTTGTGGGTTGGTTTGCTATATTAGAAATCTAGGCTTGGTTGCTGGCTGACTGGTCTAGATTTCCCTTTGTATGGGAGAAGGGGGCAGGTTAAATTATTGATATGGAGTCAGAGATCTTAATTAAATGCAAAAATAAAATTTTGCTGGCAGTTTCCTTTTGGAATGAACAGCTCTCCTAGTACTATCAACATGTTTTTGTTTTTTTCTTCAAATAACTCACAACTATTTTTCAAAATGCCCATTGACATGCATAGAAAAGAGATTCCATTTACTTAAATGGTATTTCAGAAACAAACATGCACACAAGCAGAGCTGTTGTCAGGAAAAGGAAGGAGGGGTAGACTCCATGAAGTCTGCTAGGAACTTCGAACGCTGTCAAATTTAACAGTGATGGACAGAAGTATAAAAACCTAAAGTAGATAATCATCAGAAATGTGTCTAGTACAAACAAGTTTTTGGAGATGTGTATTCATAATCAGTTTGTCTCCACCCTATACAGGATAGGTTATAAAGATAGACCTCTATCTAGTGTTAGCTACCTGCTGGGCCTGGACCATAATATTTATGTAACTTTGGAATGTTCCAGAGGTTAGGAACCTCCTTGCAGGAGAAGTTAGTTCCTTTTACTTAGCAAATGTTTGTAATCTAAACACTGTAAAGCGTATGCCTATCCTACAGTGATAGGTGCTATATAAATGTATGCCACAGTAGACAATAAGCATGTACTATGGGACCAACAGCATGAGCCAAGTATGGTGTGCTAGCTTCAAAACTAAACATCCTGGCATTTGTTTTTTGTCAGATTCTTGATGTTTCAACATAATTTTGAGATTGGTTTAATAGAAACATTTCCACTTTTCCCTTAACATTTCAGCTAGCTATATTTCAGTTTCTTGGGCATCCCAAAAGAATATATGATTGGTGTTAATCAAGCCTTTATTACTAAAAATCCTTCTTGAAAAATAGTACTTTTGAAGATTGAATAGCTAGTACAGCTAAATTTAAATGAATTAGTATGTCTCAATTTATCTTTCAGGAGCAGCGGTTAAAAGAGATTTCTGTGGTATCAAATTCCACTTCTACATCAGCATCTCCAAGCACCTTATCAGGGAAAAGTGTGAATACCACTACAGCTGTTGACCTCTTCGCAGCACCAGCACCTACAACCAGTAGGTGAGGGACACTTTCTTCCCTAAGCAAGTATAAAACACTGCCTTGGCCAATTGCCTGCAAAAATTGAAAGGCACAGATAAACTTTACAGAATATATTTCTCAAGAGTCAGAATAATCTTATGGCTGACTGTGAGATTTTCTTGATATTAGATACCAAATTTAAATGCTTCACTTGAGAGTGGGGGAGGAGGGGTTGTTATGTCCTGTAGCACCATTCTTGGCCTTCACTATGACTTCCAGAAAAGTAAACTTGGAAACATATGCATTAGCTCTGTAATTCTAATAGTCCAGTAAAATGAATCTTGGAGGCTGTAGCAAACAAAAATATTTTGTGCAAACCACATACTTCAAAAATTGCATTAAATGCATATTGGATATATTTTTAGCTGTTGGTATTTCTAGGAGTTGGGACGTGTGTGCAGACACTTAAAACAAAAAACAAACTCCATTCTTGCTTAATCTGCTCAGGAAATTTAAATCGGATAACAGACCAAATGCAGCTTAATAATTAACGTGTGTAGCTCATATTTTTTCTCTCTATTTTCAGCATGCCTAACCTTTCCAGTGATCTCTTTGATCTTCAACCCGCATTTGTTCCAACTGTACAGAGTACTCCAGCTATAGCAACATCAGCAAGCAATGCGTGGGGGGGAGGTAAGTTACTATTGTGGTTTTAACAGAATAGATAATATTCTTAGCATCTGCGAATTCATCAGTTTATCGTTGTCTGACTAAAACAAAAACTCATGCTTAAAGATTAAGTTGTATGTTCAGTTAACTGCCAGAAATCCAAATATTACTTCTTACCTTGATAAGAGATGAGACTGGTCATCTTAGAGTTGACATTAAATTTAAATGCATTAAAGAGCATTGCATTCTGTATTTTAGAGAAATTACACGTTCTTCTGTTATGGCAGAAAACAGATTTGGAGCACAGTTAACTAACTCCTGTTTAAATTTGCAAACTTAAAAAAAAATAAAAAGTTTATTTCTTTGACAAGAAATATGTGAAATCTAGAGTTGGTTTTATTCTTTTACTGCAAACAATGGGCTTGAGGAGCATTCTTCTAGTTCTAGTAGATCCATAGTAAAGCTATGGAATTAAAATGTAGATGACTGTTTTAGTGATAATCTGTGAAGTAGAGCAGATTACAGCTTGCTCCACTGCAGCTACAGCAATTGGCTTTGCAATTTTTGATTATAGTAAAAATTGATACTTCATCGTAAACCAAGCAAATTTAACTGGGAAAACACAGGGCCAAATTCTGTCCTTCCATATGGACATGCATCTCTCATTAACTTCAGTTACTTCAGCTTCCACATGCACAACTGCCATTGAATTACCTGAGGGAAGAACTTGTTAACTAACAAGGTGCAGTTTTTAGAAACACTTAAATAAGGAAATGTTGCCACGGCTAAAACTGGTAGTTTTAGTCAGTGGAGCTGTGAATGATCCCAGTGTCATTTGCTAAGCTTGGAGGCCCAGTCTCCATAGGTAATGCCTTCCGGGAATTCAGTTCACAGGTGAGTAAATGTCCTTTTTTTTAACAGAATGATGATGTAAAAAACATCAGAATTAAATATTGTCCCTTGAGGCAAGGAAACTGGTATGAGTTTCAGTAAAACTGTCTGAGTTGGGCAGAACGCCATGTGGGAAAACGTATAGCTAGAAATTAATTTCAACTAAGTTTGTTTAACCCTAGTTCTGGGAAACTTTCATATTGTGATGTTCACAATCTCTGTACTTCTCTGTGTGCTATTTGAACTCTAGATTCTCTTCTTTCCTTTTTTTATTACTTACTGCTATATCTGAAAGGTCCTTTCTCGTCCTCAAATGGTTGTGTTGGTTCTCCATCCCATCTGGACATCTTTGACATGAAGCCAGTTGAAGAAGCTGTAAAATCTACTATCCCTTTCGTCTCTTCCACCTTTACATCCAAACAAACAGTGGAACAGTTTAGTGGTAAAACATCCTCTAATTTCTTTCCAAATGGAGACAATAGTAAAAGCAAACTGGGTTGCATAACTCTTTGTATGTTTCTAATCCCTTCTAATATTAAAAATAAGCGCGATTCATTTTTTTAATCGCTTGACAGCCCAATCGTGCAATTAATCGCACTGTTAAATAATAGAATACCATTTATTTAAATATTTTTGGATGTTTTCTACGTTTTCAAATATATTCAATTACAACACAGAATACAAAGTGTACAATACTAACTTTATATTTTTTGATTACAAGTATTTGCTCTGTAAGAAAAGAAATAGTATTTTTCAGTTCACCTAATAAAAGTACTGTAGTGCAATATCTTTATCATGAAAGTTGAACCTACTAATGTAGAATTCTATATACAAAAAAATGTATTCAAAAATAAAACAGTGTAAAATTTTAGAGCCTTCAAATCCACTCAGTCCTACTTCTTGTTCAGCCAGTCGCTCAGACAGACAAGTTTGTTTACATTTGCAGGAGATAATGCTGTCTGCTTCTTGTTTACAATGTCACCTGAAAGTGAGAACAGTCAGTCTCATGCCACTATCATAGCCAGTGTTGTGTGCCAGATGCGCTAAAGATTCATATGTCCCTTTATGCTTCAACCACCATTCCGGGGGACATGCGTCCATGCTCAATAACAATCCAAAGCAGTGCGGACCGACGCATGTTCATTTTCATGATCTGAGTCAGATGCCACCAGCAGAAGGTTGATTTTCTTTTTTGGTGCTTCAGGTTCTGTAGTTTGCGCATCATAGTATTGCTCTTTTAAGACTTCTGAAAGCATGCTCCACACCTCATCCCTCTCAGATTTTGGAAGGCACTTCAGATTCTTAAATCTTGGGTCGAGGGCTGTAGCTGTCTTTAGAAGTCTCACATTGGTATATTCTTTGTGTTTTGTGAAATCTGCAGTGAAAGTGTTCTTTAAATGAACAACATGTGCTGGGTCATCATTCGAGACTGCTATAACATGAAATATGTGGAAGAATGTAGTTAGAGCAGGGGACATACAATTCTCCCCCAGGAGTTCAGTCACAAATTTAATTAACACATTATTTTTTTTAACAAGCATCATCAGCATAGAAGCATGTCCTCTGGAATGATGGTCGAAGCATGAAGGGGCATACGAATGTTTAGCATATCTGGCATGTAAATACCTTGCAATGCCGGCTACAAAAGTGCCATGCATATACGTGTTCTCATTTTCTGGTGACATTGTAAATAAGAAGCGGGCAACATTATCTCCTGTAAATGTAAACAAACTTGTTTGTCATAGTGATTGGCTGAACAAGAAATAGGACTGAGTGGACTTGTTAGCTCTGAAATTTTAGATTCTTGTTTTTGAGTGCAGTTATGTAACAAACAAAATCTACATTTGTAAGTTGCACTTTCATGACAGATTGCACTACAGTAATTGTATGAGGTGAAATGAAAAATACTATTGTTATTTTTACAGTGCAAATATTTATAATAAAAAAATATACACTTTGATTTCAATTTCACAGAACACAATATATGAAAATGTAGAAAAACATCCCAAATATTTAATAAATTTCAATTTGTATTCTATTGTTTAACAGTACAATTAAAACTGTGATTAATTGCGATTAATTTTTTTTAAGTTAATTGCGTGCGTTAACTGCGATTAATCGACAGCCCTAATAAAAACTGTTTTGGATTGCCATAATTTCAACCAAATAATTATATTGTAACTTCAGCTCTCGTAATGCAAGTAAATATTCAGTCTTTTAAATGTTGATTATATTTCTAGATTTGAAAGTATCGTTTATTTTTGTTTCTCTGCTTGATGTGCTCAAGCATCCAAACATTTCTGCATTCATTGTTTTTTACTGCCTTTCTCTCAAAATTCCTTTGGACATAATTCTTTAAAATTCAGGAATGAACATATTAATTGAGGTTTCCGGGTGATTTGCTATATATTTGGTAGATACTGGATTCTTCCTTTTTATTCTTGAAACACAATTTCAAGTCTGTGGTAACAATTAACTTTCAGGTTTTTTATTATTCTCTTCTCTCCAATCTACATTTCCTTTCTTTTTTGCATGAAGATGAATTTAGTGGTCATAAACCTACATACACTTGTGTGTTCTCCTTTGGCAATTGATAACTTTTTTTTAGCTTTCTGGGCTCATTACAGTTGGACTGTACAGATGGCTTTACTGTATATCTAATCATTTTTAAATTTATATTTTAGGATTTCCTCTTCATTCAGCTTCTCAGAGCACCACCTCTTCCATAATTAATGTGGATTTTGATGCTGTCTTTGGAGGAAAGTCAACGGCACATGAGTACAGGACCATAAATGGTAAAAACTATCTTACATTAACAAACTTAAGATGACTGCTGAGAATGCAAAATTGAACTTATAAATTGAACATAGGTTTGGTAATTTAACAAATCACTTTCATAATAGCTACCTTGTTTGAATTCTACTGTAAAAATAGAATACTTAACTAGCTTTCATTCATCTAAAACATTGTGTAATGTCTCTTCTCTCTCCCCTTCGCTCCCCTTTTCCCCCCCCCCATGCAATTTTCCATTGTGGCCCACTGGATGTCTCTTAATGGGTAAGTTTACATATCAAACTGTTTTAAACACTTAACATTGAATGGTAGTGTTGTTGCATAAAAGCTGTGTTGTTAGTTCTGTTTGAAGCATGTTATATTTATCTCAAACATGATTATTGTGTTTGAGGGATAAGACACGATATTTAGTTCTTGCAAACAGTTTTAAATCTGGGTAAAGGTAATATAATGGATGACGCAGTTTCAGCTGGTCATTAGTAGCTTGATGTCGTCTTGAAAGGTGAAGTATTTTTTTTTTTTTACAATTTATATGCAAAAGTTATTAATAGTAACTTGCCCAAGGAAGTATCCTGTTACCATGCTTTTGTGACAGAATGCTTTTAGATTACTTTGTAACACTACTCGGTCAGGTAGTTTTTCACTGAAAGTCAGGAATGGTTCAGCTTTGTATGAAACTTGCGTACCTTTTCAGGTCAAATTATCTTGGTGTAGGAGCTTTCTAAAATTCCTGTCTGTAACCCTTTAAATGAAATTCATACATGTTCTAGTATTTTATTAGAATTATACACAGAATTGAGAATTCCAAGGGGAAAAAAATTAACCTAAATTTTGCTTAACCCTTGAATACCTCTTTGGCATTTTGAAATTGTGCCCAAGCTACTGACAGTGTCATATGAGAATAGTGCTTTCTGGAGAATGGAACTTTGTTTCTGTTTTCTGTATCAGCCAAAATATGGTTGTTTTAATGATGACATTTCTATGTTCTGTTTTCAGTTTTTTATTCTAGAGGATGTATTTCTGTTTTCTGTATCAGCCAAAATATGGTTGTTTTAATGATGACATTTCTATGTTCTGTTTTCAGTTTTTTATTCTAGAGGATGTATTACAACCAACAGTACCAACACAATGTCAGAGAACCGTTCTAATCAATCAGCAGAGTGGGAAAATTTTAGCAAATGACCTTGATTCATCACTTGCGAACTTAGTAGGAAGTAAGTGTAAGATTTTTTTTTAAAACTTATTTTTTCTTGTCTATTAAAGAAAGAGAACATATTTTGCTAATTAAGCATGTTTGGGGGGGGTTATCTTTTTTTGTTACAGATCTTGGCTTTGGAGGAACCCCTTCCAAAAAGTAAGATTTTCTTTTTTGTAGTCTTGACTAAGCTCTTAAAATTATGCCGTGTGAAAAGTAATGTATTCTCTTTGAAAGAACTCCTTGGTATAGACTAAGAAACATAGTCCATCAATGTAAGAAACACAGATCCATTAAGATCTTTGGTTCTGAAAACCATCTGCATTGATCAGGAAATCTTATCAACAACAGTGTTCAAACATAATTGTGACTAATAGGTTTTCAACCATAGTATGGACAGATTCTAAATTGCATTTGATAGTATGATCAAATAAATCACTGTAAGATGGAGAACTGTCATGTATCCAGCCCTTGTTAATAAAAAAAAATACTGTGTGAATTAAAAAAAAAAGAGAGCTCAGGATGAAGTAGCCTACCTGTTCAGTGGCATCCTTTTAACCATCTAAATTAGACTTGGAGATTCGAGCAATCTTGCTTGTTAAGGTCAGATAAGGCATAATTCAAATGAGCCACTGAATAAATAGCTCTGGCAAATCATTTTCTGTAACATGGTCTCTGAGAAACCATTAAGCTACATTGCATTGGATGGTGTTTAGAAAGTTTACTTCTCATCTTGCTCCAAAAGCAGTGGAAACTGTCGTAAGAGCAAGAACACAGATAACAGTGATAATTGGAATAAATTAGTGGTGGAAATTAGATTTTCTTATTTAAGAATCTGTAAATTTCTGCTACCTACATGAGTTTTCATCCGTAGTGTTCCGTTTTACTGATCCTCTGATTTTTAATTGTTTATCTGCTCATAAACAGAAATTCTTTTCAGTTTCAGGTCAAAGTTGTTATACTTTATGCAAGAGCCTGTTAACTCCATGGGGAAGCTGAGTTCTGTAATTTCTTTTTAGGTCAGACATGCAGTGGAATCAGCCAACAGAGAAGAAACTTACTGGCGGAACAAACTGGCAGGCAAAAACAAGCACCTCAACTACATGGAATACTGCCCCCATTCCTCCTGCTCCACATATGGTAAGTGTTGTACCATTTCTGACTTCAAATTATGCACCAGGAAAGTAAATACACTGCCTTTTCCAATGATATGAATTTAAAAAAAAAAAGGACCAGAGGCTATTCCACTTGAGGCTGGAGAATTGCCTATGGAGCAGCTCCACACTCAGTGACTTGAAGGGGAGTTGACTTTTCCCCTCTGCCTCAGAAACTCCTGGCTTTTTGGGTTGGGCTGAGGCTAGGATTGTGCAGTTAAAACTCTGTTCTTTTAAGCTGTCTACAGATTCAAGAAGACCCACTGTATTGGTTTCCTTTGTTAATAAATGGAAGGTGTCTAAGGACTAGAAGCTTTTCTTTTAAATAAAAGCTTTGCAGCAGCAGAAACTGGTGAGCAAGTTCCCCATTCACCAGGAAAAATCTTCTACTTGCCAGTGGTGAGTGGATTTGTCAAGACTCAGTGACGAGGGGAAAAACAATATCAGACAATGTGAAAATGACAGAACTTGTAAGTGATTTTTTTTTGTTTTGAAATTTAGTAGCGATTGGACATTTAATATAGTGAATGCCAGTGAAAATGAGATAGGATCAGAGGCTAAAATAGGGAAAGAACAAGCTAAAAATTATTTAGACAAGTTAGATGTCTCCCTGTCACCAGGGCCTGATGAAATACATCATAGAATACTCAACTTGCTGACTAAAGAGCTGTCTGAGCCATTAGCGATTGTCTTTGAAAAGTCATGGAAGATGGGCAAGATTCCAAAGGATTGGAAAAGGGCAAATATAGTGCCAATCTATAAAAAGGTAAATAAGGACAACCCGGGGAATTACAGACCAGTCAGCTTAACTTCAGTACCCGGAAAGATAATGGAGCAAATAAATAAGCCATCTATTCGCAGAAACTTAGAAGATAATAGGGTGATAAGTCAGCATGGGTTTGTCAAAAACAAATCGTGTCATACCAATCGAATAGCTTTCTTCAACAGGGTAGCAAGCCTTGTGGTTAGGGGGAAGTGGTATATGTGGTATATCTTGACTTTAGTAATGCTTTTGATACTGTCTCACATGACCTCATAAACAAACTCAGGAAATACAACCTAGATGGAGCTACTATAAGGTGTGTGCATAACTGGTTGGAAAACCATTCCCAGAGAGTTATCAGTGGTTCACAGTCAAGCTGGAAGGGCGTATCAAGTGGGGTCCCACAGGGATCAGTTCTGGATCTGGCTCTATTCAGTATCTTCATCAATGATTTAGATAATGGCATAGAGAATACACTTATAAAGTTTGTGGATGATACCAAGCTGGGAGGGGTTGCAAGTGCTTTGGAGGATAGGATGAAAATTCAAAATGATCTGGAGAAATGGGATGAAATTCAATAAGGACAAATGCAAAATACTCCACTTATGAAGGAACAATCAGTTGCACCATACAAAATGGGAAACGACTGCCTAGGATGGAGTACTGCGGAAAGGAATCTGGGAGTCATAGTGGATCACAAGCTAAATATGAGTCAGTATTCTGGGATGTATTAGCAGGAGTGTTGTAAGCAAGACATGAGAAGTAATTCTTCTGCTCTACTCTGCGCTGATAAGGCCTCAACTTGAGTATTGTCTGGTTCTGGGCGCCACATTTGGGGGCCCCCCCAGGAAAAATGGGTGCCCCAGCCCCAGAAGAAGCCCCAGGGCAGAAGTCCATATGAGGCCACCCTGAGCCCTGGCTGGTGCCACAGGGGAAGAAGCCATGAGCCCTGGCTGGAAGGGTGGGGGGGAAGCCCCGAACCCCAGCTGGAGGGGTGATGGGGGGGTAGTGGCAAAGCCCCAGACAGGGCCATCCCTAGCTATTTTGGTCCCCTACGCAGGCTCCCCCTCCCCCCGTGGGGGGGTTATGTGGGGCCCCGCCCCAGGCCTCTGCGTGGTGGGTAGGGGGTGGCACACTGACCCCAGGCCTCTGTGGGGCATTGGAGAGGGGGCGCTGGCCACTTCCTGCAGGAAATGGAGTGACCTGGCCCCAGCCTGCTCCACTCTCCTGGCTCCCAGGCTTGGGGGGTAGGGAGGAACCGCCCCACAGCACTCACTGGCGGTGCAGCTGGGAGCCAGGGGAGCGGAGCAGGCTGGGGCCCGGTCGCTCTACTTACTGGTGAGTGCAGGCCCGACCGCTTCTGGAGTCTTCAGGGGAGTGGGGTCGGGGCTGGCGCAGAGCAGAGGCGGGAAGAGGCTGGGTTTGGCAGGGGCCCTGGGAAGAGGCAAAGCAGGGGCTGGAGCCCTAAGCAGCTGCATACTTAGCGTATGGCTAAGGACAGCCCAGGCCCCAGAGCCTAGTCTGCCCCCACCCAGAGCTCGGGCTGCCCCAGCTTCATCCGTTGGGAGTGAATGTCCCCAGCCCGGCAGAAGCCATTGTGGGAGGAAGCCACGCCTGGACCTGGAGCTGTGGGGGGAAACTGAAGCCTGGAGCCCAGCTTCTGAGCTGCTGCAGCGCAGAAGTGAGGGTGTACCACCCTCCTCTTTGCGCTTCCCCTGGAGGTAGGTCTGATCTCCCCACTAAGTGTGACTGTGCAGGGGAAGGACAACTCCTGTCTCTCCCCAGCACGGCCGCATTAGCAGCTCAGCTCCAAGCAGCAGGGGAAATCAGATTTAATGGGGGAGGGTTGATTTCGTGGTCTGTGACATGCTTTTCACAGCCATGAAATTGATAGGCCCTACATCTAAGGGAAGATTGAAAAAACTGGGTTCAGTCTGGAGAAGAGAAGACTAAGAGGGAACACAAGTTTTCAAGTACATAAAAGGTTGTGACAAGGAAGAGGGAGAAAAATTGTTCTCCTTAACCTCTGAGAATAGGAAAAGAAGCAATGGGCTTAAATTGCAGCAAGGGCAGTTAAGGTTGGATATATTAGGAAAAACTTCCTAACTGTCAGGGTGGTTAAGCACTGGAATAAATTGCCTAAGGAGGTTGTGGAATCTCCATCGTTGGAGATCTTTAAGAGCAGGTTAGACACACACCTGTCAGGGATGGTCTAGATAATATTTTTAATCCTGTCATGAATACAGGGGACTGCACTAGATCTCTCGAGGTCCCTTCCAGTCCTATGATTCTACGACTTGCAGGAAGATTAGCTATTGATCTTAGTATGCTTGCCTTCATACCACTGAAAAACTTACATTAAGGACATTTAAAAAAAATCTAGATTCCAGTTTATTTCATTTTTGAGATGGACAGAAATTAACAATGTATGTTTGGGGAGGGTACAGTTGTCTTAAGATAAAACGGATCTCAAGGGATAGTTAGGTTTGTTAGGCAGGGACCTAGTCCATCTTGCTTCTGAATCCTGAAAGAGACCATCTCACATGTAATAACTGCCATTCCCAGCTTGTTTTGTCCCTGTCGGGCTTCAACATGGCTGTTTAACTACTTCATTGCTGATAATACTTTGCATTTTATACAGTCTTCTATGTGTAGTTCTTGGCATAGCACTCTATCTTATTAAACCATCTCAAAGTACTTCAGTAATGAAACATATTGCTGTCCAGGATGTCAGATGAATACTATAAATGTTTCTCACATGGCAACATGCTGACTCACCACTGAGGAAATATGAGTGCCAGAAATAAATCCCAAATCAATTATAAATTGAAATATTCAGTTACAACTATGTCAAACCAATAGAAGAAGAGTGGGAAGCACCCATAGGTTATATCTATGCCTATATCTATGCTAGTTTAGACAAACTAATAAAATGAAGGGAACAATTAAATAGTTAGGACTGATCTTTAATTAAACTTGTCATCTGCTTCTATTCCATCCATGGTTTAGAAACATAACTTCTGAGTTTCAACAGATCCCATGAGAGTATGTAAGAGACATTGAGGCAAGGGTAGATTGGGGTTTGACAGTTCACTGTTTCATTTAGTACATTTGTATGTTTTTAATGTATCAGTTAAAGTTCTTTTTATTGAGTATTTGAAGTACTTAGCCTGTATAGAAAAAATACAATTCCAGGTCTTGGATAACACTTTCAAAAGGGCCTAACTCCCATCTTCAAGGTTCCTTATTTATTTAGATACTTCTGAAAATTGTGTGCCTTAGCTGTTTTGGGGAGTTTGGGTACTAAGGAAAATAGTCAGTATTCTATGCCTCTTGCCTTTGATAAATAGACTATGCACCTCTACCTCGATATAACGCTGCCCTCGGGAGACAAAAAAATCTTACCACGTTATAGGTGAAACAGCGTTACATTGAACTTGCTTTGATCCGCCGGAGTGTGCAGCCCCGCCCCCCCCCGAGCACTGCTTTACCGTGTTATATTCGAATTCATGTTATACCGGGTCGTATTATATCGGGGTAGAGGTGTACTTTTGGAAAGATGAGCAAATGTCCATTTTTGTCGGTTCACAGTTTGTTGTGCCACACCTAAATCAGGTCAAGCATTGTGACAGGGACTGTAAGTCATCCAGTGGCTGAGGAAAAATAGCTATGCCAGAACTGACCAGTAAGTGGAAAGTCCTGAATTAAACATTCTCTAAAGCGACCCCCAAAAATTCAAGGAACAGTTCTAAGCATCTTCGTCATTCTCAGTAGTAATTTCCTGTCAGTATTCTGGATGTTCAACAAAAGATATGGAAAGATGCTATGGATCTATTAAAATCTGCAATAGTCTGATTGTTGTAGAACCAATAACAGGGGATGTTCCTGGATTTATTCATTCTTGTCCTGAAAGTATTAGGGACACACAATATCTTCCTACCTTTGCATACAAATGTGCTAATTGTATCCCTGAAATGGCTGCCTTGGTTAAAGAAGTAGAACTAGAATGTTTGTTTTACTTATTAAAAGAATCAAAACCTATCAAATGGCCAAGGGGATTTGGAGAGCTACCATGTGTTCCCCAAGCCCACGTACAAAACACATACTCTTTCATATATGTCATGCAGATGGAATCTTCTAGAATCCATTTTCATATGCACTATAACTTACCTACTGTTAATAGTGTGCACACTTCCCATTAGGTCACAATGGGACAGCAAGACCAAGGATGTGGCCCTGTGTAGAAATGAATCCCTAGATGGTTGTTCTTGGCACTGGTTTCCTCTTCCACTTGCTCCTGCTCTTCAATTTCTGGGCTCGCTTCAGACACCTGGTTCTATATTGTAGAAAAATATGGAAGCTGTCTTTAGGCTAAGAATCTCCTTGAGCATCCTTTCCTCTCCGTTCCGCACTGATTTTCATGATGAGTAATCAAGGCTTTCTTGCTCTCTTCTATTCTCTTCTTCTTCTCCTTAAATAACTGTTATTTAACAGTGCCTGTTTCCTGAAAGTTTGAAAAGCAAATAAAGGCTTCAAATGTGTCTGGATTTAGCAAAAATATAATGAATTAATGCTTCCATTATTAGACTGAAACTAATTATTCTTTACATGTTAGAAAAGGAAAATTCTATCCAAGTTACGTGGTACAGCCTGTTACTGTTCTAGCACACTGCATTATATTGTTTGTACATTTATCCATTCTAGTTAAAGACTATATTATATTCACAATGAAAAGCATGGAGAAAGCTAATTGCCATACTATATCATAACCCATTCCTGGGTTAAGTTGTCTAGTTTCAGTACCACTTCAATAATTTTCTGTCCTTATTCCTTTTTGGTATGCCAGAATGGAGTACATTATCCTGGATATGTAAGTTACTTTCTTGTAAACTTGTAACCTATTTCAAGTACTTTACAAAATATAAAGATATATTTTGTAAAGTCCCTTATTAAATGTTACTAATAGAACTGTATTTTAGATAATTTCAAGCATAAGTTTTCTTCCTGCCTTTAAAGGTACCTGCTCCAATGACCTACCCAGTAACTACACCTCAAGTGCCTGTGTATGGAATGGTAAGGAATTCATTGTTATAACTGTATTTTCACACTTTGGAAATGTAATTGTATATTGTTTTGTTGCCATGTTTCAATGTGCTAATTTGTCAGTTTATACTCCTTTCTTTTACACAAATTAAAAGACCTGAAAGACTACATATCTGTTATTTCTGTTGTATTGATTTCCAGTATATCACATACAGCACAAAATATTCAATATGAAGTTTCCAAGACTAATTTGAGTTTAAAATAGTACTTTGATTAACTCTTTCCCTGTCTTTCTCTATACCTTGCAGGTACCGCCTCAGATTGGTGCTGCTCCTTTAATGGCACCCCAGCCAATGATTTATACACAGCCAGGTCTCAGGCCAACGAATCCCTTTGCGCCTGTCCCTGGAACACAGGTGAACACTTTTTTTTTAATGTGAACTTAAAAGATTAAGGAAAAGTTCCAGTCTTAGGAGTAAGTGAATGATTCCCCCTCCGTTCTCCCCCTCCCCCCCCCCAAAAGCTTGGGATTCCAGTAGTTTACAAATATCTTTTTCTAGGCCCCTTAAATTACAAATGCGCTTGAGTGAACTATCCCAGCATATACTGATGACCTCCTAGTCTGCCTTTAAAAAGGCAAGTCCAGCTTTTGTTAATATTTTATAGGTCTCTAAGGTTTAACGCTATTAAAAAAAATTGCCATAAAGATTTAACACTGGTATCTAAAAGGATACCTTAAAGAATACAACGTTAAGTAAAACTGGACTTTCTTCTTTCCCAGCCAGTGTTACCATTCTGAACTCATTAGGGCTACAGTCCTCTATTTCCATGCTTGTAGGGGTTACTCTCATCTGTGTAGCGGCTACTAGTAGGCACTACAGCTTGGAGGGAGAGGAGGTAAATGAATGGAGAACAGCAGAGCACAGGTTACTGGTCAGCTTTGCCTAGCTAGCTGTGAAAATCCTTGCCTAGAAACTTTAGGCATGGGGCGGGGGGTGAGAGGGCAGTATTTGGCTTCTAGGACTAGCCAGCCAGTCATTCCCCTGGATGAGTTCAGCCTTACACAACTCAGCAGGCAATGAATTAATGTCTTCTGGTTTGGGCCCACAGTTGGAATGATAAAATATGGTGGTCTTCACACATTTTATGTGGCATGTGGGGAGAAGATTCACACTAATTTATGTGCTCCATTGGGAGAACATATATTTCATGCTCAGCTGTGAATTTCACTCTGTATCTATTTGTATCTTAACCCTAAATGTTTGGGTTTTGTGGTTTTAAATAACTCTCCATAAGAAACCGAATAAGTAGTGCACTATCTTCTACCTCACCCCCAAATAAATCCCGGTTGTCAAGTAACCAGGTTAACTGTTCTGCTTGTAGATATGTGAATTGATTCATTATTCTGCAGAAATAGTGCATTGAGTAAACAAACTTAAACTTTCATTTCTGTCTTACAGATACAGTTTATGTAGAGCAGCCAAAGCAGCGAGATACATTGACGACCAAATACTGGTAAAAAGAAGAGAGTGAAAATTGTGTTCTCACAGTGCAGTCTTCAGCAAGGCATCCACTTACTACTCCCTGTGTAACATAAAATTACTTTGAATTGCAATGCTTTAGAGATTCTTGTTTATAACAGTCACTGTGGTATGGAATCATGTTTGTTCATTGGTTTTAGACTGTAAGACTAGCTTCAGTAGAAAACCAAAATCTTTGAAGCTAAAGGTCAGTTTAGAAGATGAGAAGAATCTGACTTTTAAGGACCTGTACCTTCTGAAGAGGGGCTTATTTACATAATTGCTTTGCAACTTTATTCATCAACAGATGGCCTGTAGAAAGTTGATTGAGGGCATGATATTTCTATTTATTTTATTTTCTCCCTGAACTGTGTGGCTGTTGTAATCAAGGCACAACTCAAATGAAGTTGAGCAATAAAACTTTCATATGCTCTAATAAAGTACTCTGATAGAGTAATGCTTGTATTATCATATAAAGCCAATATTGTGTGAAATCAGACAGCTTTCTCATATTAGAATAGCTTCTTATAATTCACAAATTTTATACTGTGAGTTTTAAATGCTGTGAATCAACTAACTATATATAAAAACGATTAATGGAAAACTGGTCCATTGGCATTATGGCAGTGCGTTCTATTGCCAGCTGAGAGATTCAGGCTGAGATCTGTCTCCAAGCAGGAGAAAATAGTAGTATGTTACAGAATAGCATGTACAGCTTCCAAACAGATAGTGATAGCTGCACTTCCTTAGCATCTTTTGTGCAGATAGCAGCATTGTTCTTAGCTCTAGCAGGAGTTGCCTTTATGTCACAGTAAAACTGCAGACACATCCAGCAGCAGCAAATTGGAGGGATTAGTAAATCTTGTTGCTGGCCACTAAAGAGGAGAAATGTCCACATTTGAGTAGTTCGGCAGTTTAAAAAAAAAAGTGATCTTTTCGGACTGGAAACTACATTCATGGTATTGTCCAGCCTTTGAAAGTAATTATTTTAAAGTGTGTAAATATATGTGTAAACTTTGAAGTGCGTTTCTTAAGGCTGCAGTAACTTTTTTATTTTGTTGAATTTTCAAAATAAAAATACTGTATTGCTTAAGAAATGTACATACATTTCTTTTATAATAAAAATCTTGCAATCCATTATCTAATCTATGAAAAATATAACTGCAGTCTAGCTACGCATATGCAAAAATGATTTCAAAAATTAAGGTTTTCACTTTCATATTTATTAAATAAAATATTCCCTAAAAATACTGTAGAATGTTGATAAAAAATATCTTCGAACACCTGAAGAATAAAAATGATAGCATGAAAAAAGTATGTAATTTGACACACATACAATTCAGAACATGTTTCCAGAACTTTAGTGGGAGAATAGAAGAAAAGGGGAAAGTGCTATTGTATCCTTTAAAGCTCACTGTGGGATAATCTTAAACTGGGTCATCATAAAAAGAAAATAAGCGTCCTTGTTATTTACATCAGTATAGTAGTGACGGTCTTGTCTTGGGAATGTTACGTTAGCAATAATATCATTAAGGGTAGCTTACGAATGCCAACATGTTGTTTAGTAATCTTGCCAAATTGTTCTAGAGCAAACCTTTGAAATACAGCACTTAAATTCTATAATACCCTTTTCTCTAGGTATCTTTTTGTTTGTTAATTTTGTGCCAAGAGTGTAAGGGAAATATACTTATTTCATAAAAGAAATATACTTTTTGTCAAACTAAATGAGAATTTTTAAGTCCTTTTGACACATGTATTTGAAATTTGTAACCACTAACTTTCTGTGAAATTAAATGTTGCAAATGGAACAGATGTATTAAGCCAAAATTCTGGACATGTACTGGCAAAGGTATAAACTGGACTACATACAGTGATTAAATATTGAAATTTGAATTTAAAGGCTTTTGGCTTTAATCCCCTCTTCCTGGGTTGACCAAAAATACTGTATAATTAATTTTAAGCCAGTGAATTCTCCAGTGCACAGAGTGGCCCTCCACATGCTGGGGAAACATACCCATAACTTGGAGTGAGTCAGAATGTTTCAAACTTTATTTGATATAGGGATGAATTCCATTGAGTTTACTCAGCATTTAAAGATCTTGCTTCCAAAAAATTCTTCTGTTTTAAATCCAGTTTAGATCAGTACCTGTGATAGACTAGTATGTGTTTTTTAAAATAGTTAAGCAGTAATGTCAATGCTCAGAGGTTGTGAACAGGTAATGTCTGGCACTGTATAAAGTAAATATCAAGACTCTTTTTTCCTGTAGCAGCTTATTTTATAGTCCTGTTCAAGTCCATTTTAAATTATATCCCTCATATGATTCATTTTAAATTGCTCGAATGAATGAATGAATGAATGAATGGGCAGTCAGCATACATTCACTGTAACTTTATTGAAGAGCTATATTCTGATTAGCTAGAATGTACTTGTTCTGTACTTCCTGCAGTCAGAAATAAGCTCAAATACTTTTTTTAAATTTCTGATTGGCTAGTGAAATTTTTAGTGACTTTGTTGGGCAGTTTTCCTGTAATCAGACGGTCTGATAAGTTTTATTTAGTATTAAAAAGGAAAAAACAGCCACAGTGTACATCTTAAACATTTTATAAACTACCTTCCCTTTAGTCTTGTACAATATTTGTTGATGCATTAATGGGTTTACGTAAAAATCTTGATATAGTTTTATCACCTTTGAAGAAAAGGTGGTTTTAGCATATTTCTGACTTCACAAAAGTGTACAGAACTGCTTTTAGCAACTTCCTTGTGAACATATTTGAACATGTAAAAAGCTGGATTATCATTTTTAGCCCACAACGTATGGTTTCATAAATTAAGAATAATGTAACTGCAAGGAAACAGGACGCTGTCAAGATTCTTAAGGCTCAGTATTTGCCCCTTGATCTTCTGAAAGACACTCTTTGTTGTACAGCAAAATTATTCCCATTATTGGGGACCATATGAACTTAAAAAAAAAAAAAAAACCTTGCAACCGTTGCAAATAGTAGCTGGTACAAGAGCAAGACAACAAAGGACTTGTATGTATATGACATTGTCCATTCGCTCCCCTACTAACCCTGTCTTTTGTGATTAAGCATCCTGTTCTGAGTGCTCTTCAGCTCCTTCCTTTCTCTCAAAATTAGTGAAATCTGCGGAATGCCATGCACTTCCATCATGTATTCCTGTGGCATTTGTGACTATCATTCCACCTAACAACTGGAATGTTAACACTATTGCATCCCTTTTTTGGGAAGCAAGTTAATCTCTTTCTGATGGGGCACTTTACCATGGAATCTATTGCAGAAGATGGGATGGAATGTTGTAATATTGAGCTTGTTGGACTTGAAAGTGTCCCTTTTAAATAGCTGTCCCTTTTTAATATCCTTAATGTACGTTATGAATTTGCCTCCAGGAAGTTCTCTACTTTAAATTTAGATTCCCAACTAGAATTATGTAATAGAGAAATTTTAGTTCTGTGCACATAGTGGTGGGGAAAAAATGTAGGGTAAAAATAGTGAGCATAGTTTTTGTAAAATGTTGAATAACCTCTTACTACAAGATTGAATACAGGGTGTGTCCAGATCTGGTTTTTTGATGTGTGGCAGAGAGGGTGGGTTACAATTTTAGAGTATCATGCACTGTGGATCGGTGCTTTATTTGTAAATAAAAGGGAAAACTTTTTTCTTTTGGGTAGTTTGTATCGTAAGGATAACATCTAAGGGCACTGTGTACCAGTCATTTATTTCCATTTTAAAGATTATATTTTTGAGTAATGGAAATTGTACATGTTATCATTTATACATTTATTGGTAGAGAAATAGAAAAGTTATGTTGCTATTACTCTGAAGATGTATTTGATTGTCACGTATTGCTAAATACATTACTGCATAGCTTTTTTCCACAAGTATCTCATGTGCATTTATTTAAAGAGATTGTAATAACTGGTGCAGTTTAAAAAAAAAAATGATGTACATTAGGAATCCTCCTTCAGTATCTCAAACCTGTAGCCTTGTGTTTCAAGTCTAATCCTTTACCAGATATTTGGCTGGGGATTTCATCATATAGAGAGCACTGGTGCAAAAAAAAAAAGGTGCTGAACAGATTTATTCATTTGGGATTATTTATTTAATGGCTCTTTCATCGTTTTATATGTTGCATTTTCCCCATGTATAACAGGTTTGTGCCTTTTATTGGGTATTTATTTAAAAGGAGCTTACTATATTGTAGGAGGTTGTTTTTACAGGCTTATTGTTGTATGGCTGTTTCTTTAAATGAGTTCCTTTCCATTTTATAATAATGGATACAGAATGTGTGGAAAACAATCCATTGACCATAAAACTAGGAGAGGGGAGATTGCATAAGCACAAGACTGGCTATGTTGACATTTAATTGGGGCACTTAATTTAACAACATACAAAACTGTTTTGGGTTTTTTAAGATTGTTGCTCAGATTCATTCATTTGTTATTGAAAGGTTTTGAAAAATAAACTTTGGCACAAATAAGATGTGTTTATTTTAATGTGTTCAGATATTTAATGCTTGTTTCAAAATTGCTATAAGAGAGTGGAGTTAATTGTTCTTGCTTCATCTTCCTAAACAGAGTGTGACAATCAAAAGGCTGCTTAGTTTGTTATATTTAAATATAGTTATGGCACTATGCCTTTCTTGCTCATGACATTCAAGTGGTGCCTATGCTTTTGTAATTTGAGGGTTTGATCCATCAGAAAGTCAGTCCAGTAAATGGGACGGTCAATTGCTTTGTTTTCCTTATGTAGGCTAATCTTTAATGGGGAACTATTTCCGGTAGTCACTAAACTTTGGGGGGATTTATTAAATCATTGAAAATAAAGTACATTAGACTGTTGTTCTCCCTTATGCTTATCCCCATTTGGGATCAGTATCCGTTTGCATCTTGGATGCAGTAGACTTTAGTCAGCACAAATCTACACATATGGATTGCACAAAATACTCTGAGTAACAGCCGTGTTAGTCTGTATCCGCAAAAAGAAGAACAGGAGTACTTGTG